TGGATGAGCTTAAGGCTGCTATCGAAGCATCATGGGCCTTCATAACACCTCAGCAGTGCCACAGGCTGATTGCCTCCATGCCACACCGCACTGAAGCAGTCATTTCTGCAAAATGATTCCCCACCAACTATTGAGTGCATAACTGAACATAATTATTTGAAGGTTGACTTTTTTTTTGTATTAAAAACACTTTTCTTTTATTGGTCGGATGAAATATGCTAATTTTTTGAGATAGGGATTTTTGGTTTTTCTTTACTTTTTTGCCAAAATCATCAATTTTAAAACAATAAAAGGCTTGAACTACTTCAGTTGTTGTGCAATGAATCTAAAATATATGAAAGTTTAATGTTTATCAGTACATTTAAGAAAATAATTAACTTTATCACAATATGCTAATTTTTTGAGAAGTACCTGTACAATGAGAACAATTTATTGCTGAGGCATGTCACAGGGATTGCTCTTGGCTAGCAACACACCAAATTTCAGCTCAGTGTTTCTAAAATAGGCTGAGTTTTAACTTTAAAAGTGAGCCATTTAAAATTAGCTTTGGCAGCCATCTTGTATTTTGTAAAAGATTTGATTTATTGTTTTGGCTACTACTACAATAATTTTCAGTTGTGTGTTTAAAAATGACTAAATTGTATCCCCTTGTGAAATTAGCAGCATTAGCAGTTATTTCAGTTGGGACTAAATGTTTTTCTTTCTTTCCTCTTTTTATTGCATTTATACCCTTTAGGGGTTATTTTAAAACGTTACAGTAATGTGTCATATTATCTACAAACTGTCTGAACTCAACTGTCTGTCTGAAATCAAACTATGGCTGAACAACAACTGTCTGCAGTAAAATGCAAATAAGACTGTGAGACTTTCATTGTTGCGCCTGATGATGAAATTCCTGTAATCAGGCACCTTGCTTTTTAAACTCTGTGAAAAATAGCCTCAGATATCTGGGTGTTGTCTTTGACAGTTCCTTGTTTTTCGAAGTCATTGTAAAATCTTAGTTTGTAACAGAATTTCAGAAATATTTCAAAGCTGAGACCTTTTTTTCACAGAAATAACTACAGATGATTGTTTACACTTTTATTTCTTCTTGTTTAGGTCACTGTAACAGTATTTTCACCTGTCTAAACACAGTAAATCCTCCTTGGCTCTCCTTCAGTCTGCAGAACGCAGCAGCGAGGTTATTAACAAAGACCCACAGAAGATGGCTCCCTGTGACATAGAGTCATTTTAAAATGTTGGTTTTAACCTTTAGAGATCTTCATGGACAGGCCTCCAAATACATGTTGGACCATCTAAAGCAGAGGTGCTCAAAGTGTGGCCCATGGGCCAAAAATGGCCCATCAAGCCATTTGATTTGGCCCACCAGTAGTTGTCTTTAGATTTAAGCCCATATCTAGATTTGCACACCTTATAAGTCCACATATACTCAAACTTTAAATTATGACAAGTCCCATGACCCTTTACTGCCCGAGCATACATTGAATTTTCTCCATGTCCATGGGCTAAAAACAAACTAAAGAATATGGGCAACCGTACTGGCTGGTAGCTTAATCATAAAAAATAAAACAACTTTACTTTAGAAGTATTTGCATTTCATGTATTATATTATTGATTGGTTTTAATTTTGGCCCTCTCAGCAAAAATGTTTTTTGATTTTGACCCTCGCAGGGAAAATGTTTGGGCACCCTTGTTCTAAAGCCTCTCTGTCTTTCCAGGAATTGGGGTCTTCAAATCAAATGTCATTGATACCTACCTGTGGAAACAAAGCTTTTCAGGTGGAGGCCCCGAGGCCTTCACTGCTCAGATTCCACTGACTCTTTTAAAGGTATTGGTACTTTATTAGTCATGCATGTTCCCATACAATGACGAAATTTGTGCTCTGCATTTGACTCATCACATGTGAGAAACACACAAGTGGGGCAGCAGGAAGCTTTGTGGGTGCCCGGGGAGCAGTTGGGGCTTTGGTGTCTTGCTCAGGGAGTCGAGCCTGTGACTTTTAGAGTCCCAAGCCAGCTGGCTGCTCTATCACTACACCACAGCCACCCCACACCGCAGCCGCCCCAAACAAACAGGGAATACAGGGAATAAAAATGTCTTAAGATGTTTCTTAAACATCTTAAGACATTTTTATTCACAGGCTTGTAGTTAAGTTTTGTTTATTTTCTCCACCCCTTCATTTTTTAAGTGTTCTTTATTTGTGACCTGTTTTTACTGTTTTCTTTGTTATTTTACTCTGTTATGTACTTTGTGACGTTTGTGTCTGTGAAAGGAAAAAAATCTTAAATACTGTAAAACTTCATTCTGATTAAAATATATGATGATGATGATGATGATGATGATGATGATGATATTGTAACCACTTATTAGGGCATCGGTATTGGTATGATCCTGACCCTTCTTTAACTGGAATCCGATCAATACCAGATCTTGTATCACTCACCACTACTCCTCTGTCAATTTCTGCTCATCTCAGTCAGCCTGCCATGCCCACTCTCACCTGTTTCCAGTGTGCAGCTCAGCTGTTTCCACTTGTTCATCAGTCCTCTGCATGGACACAGACTGTTTGTTTCACTCACCAGTAGAGCTTTGCTAGTTTTCATGCCGCAGTCTAGTCTCCTTCAGGTTCTCTGTTAGTTAGTTAGTTAGTTAGTTATTTGAATAAAACTGGTTTTAGAGCTTGTCATGTCAGTCTGCATTCAGGGTCCAGACCTGCTTGAAACTGTGACAGTTTCAGAAAATAACTTTCAATATACCTCTACCACTAAATAACCTTTAAAGCTAATGAAATTCATTCAGGCAGACACAGCCAAACAAAGAAGACGAAAAAAAGAAGAAGCTCTAATTCCATTTTACAGACATTGTGCTACATTTATTCAGCTGTAACTGAGAGATTACAACACACACTATCAGTGATAATCATTATGCTAAGTATTTGCTTAAAACTTAAACTGTGGATGTTAACTTGGTTTGTATGTTTGCAAAAATCTTACAAATCACTTGACAGATTAAAAAATAAAAATTAAAATAAAAAAACCCAACATCTTCATGTAACTGACTTTTGGAACCAACCCATTTCACTGCCACAGTTACTAAACCTTGGCCAATAGAAAAATGTCTCTGCCTATGCATTTCTTCAGTGCATCATTTTCTTGGCCTTTATGTGCAAATTGTGGGGTGAATACCATGGGTTTGTAACTAGCAGTGACATCTGCAGGCCAATAGCTGCACTGCTGTATGCCTTTTTGCCTCCATGCATCAGTTTTCTATGCAAATATACAAGTCAATAAGACTGAAGTTGCATTCCTGCTAAACAACAACCACAAAGTGCAGAAACAAAGAAATTTAAATATCTCGAACATGAATCTATTTTTTTTGTAAATTCACACATTTCCCCCCKCTGAATAAATGGTTTAGGCATCAGCACTGTGCACTTTTAGCTAGTTTTGAATCTTATGAGGTTACATAATATTTACTTATTGAAATGAGTGTTTTCTAAAACACCAGGGTTTTCTGCAACAATGGCCARCCACAGTTTTCAGTTTGCTAACAACTTTTCCCATTTACTTCAAAGTAAAAGCCAATGAGGYATACAGAGGCACTATCATGTGTCTTTTCATGGACAGAGTGAGCAGCCATCTTGTGCAGGGCAAGGGCTGTGCAAAAGTATTTTTTTTCTTTTGGTGAATGCAACGCTCTTCTGTAGAAATGTACCATCTGCTGAAATTAAATAATTGTGGGCTTGTCCTTCCTTCTCAAGAGACTGTCGTGTTGAGTAAGCTCTCCAGAGCTCTATGAACATTATGTCAGCAACAACAACTGCAACTTGACAGCATGTCAGCTGTTAAAGCTGAATGTGGTAATCATGACGTGTTAAATTTAGATCATCACATCATTTGAACTCTGTTTGGTATTGACAACCATTATTTTTGATTTGATAGAAATGTTTGTTAGCTCATGTTATCATATCAGACAGATCCATGTGAATTTACACACGTGTGCAATAAATAATGTTTTTAAAAGGCAGAAGCTAATCAAAATAATTATTTTTAGTGGTCAGTAGCAATACAATGTAATTCATTTTGGTCAAAATTGCAATTAGAAACATAATAGTTATTCATTAATTCTCTAAAAATTTGCAGTATAGTCAATGGATTTCATATACTACAGTTATGATAAACTGTAAGCCTTCAGCCTCAGTTTTTATCAGCAACATAAAACCATGCTGACATACTTCGGTACACAAGTACCAACTTGCTGCGTATTAGGCCTGACATTATGGACAACTTGTATATAACCATTTTAAAATTCATAAATTCAGCTCATCTCATGTATTTAAGTTTAAATACAGATAGTATTTAAACTTAAATACAAATAGTATTTGTATTTTTAGTAACTATAGTGCTACAAAGAGTTAAAGCACTATTTGTATGGAAAATGATTCACAATATCATTTGCAATATTTAAGAAGTTGCTATAATTTTTAAACTTGGAAACATTCATTTACTACGAAGGCTCCGTACATATTACTCAGCTTGTGATAAATTTCTTGGATAGGTCAAATTTCCGCCATGATGAATTAATGATTGAAAATTTGTCGAAAAACTACAACATGCAACATTAGTCGTAGCCCATTGTTTACATTGACAGCCCGCCTCTAATCATATGACGTCACACACGAACCACAGTGAGCTGTCTTCTGAAACAGACATGTCCCCTTTATTCTATTCCTCTTAGTAAAACCATATATACTGTTTATATA